TAAGACCCTGATTAGTATTAAGTGCTCAGTTCTGTATATCCACATATCCTTTGTAGGGGTACCTGTTCTTTTACTTTTCACTTATCCTTATGTAAATGTTGACACAGTTTGTCTCCCTTGTTATCACATAATTTCAGCATTAATTGTGATTTCGATTTTAATCATTGGCTGTTATAATGTCTTTGTACTGCTGAGAACATCTTAGTACAGATTACTTTGTTTTATATTTATTTATTTGTGGTATATTTAGGAGAGAACACTGGTCTGAAAATACACACTTTTAGAAGCTTCTTTTAGAAGTCAACCGTATCCTTGTTTGCAAAGGCTTTTTGTTAGGCCCCTCACTTCCCCACAGTTCATATAGATCATTTAGGCTTGTTGGAGATTTTAAAAGCTTAATGTGTATAAACTTGGTTTTGTATATGTTGGCCTGTGATTTATTTGTACTTTTCACCAGAGCACTCATATTAAACCTAAAACTTTAATATGGATTATTTTGCTTGAAAGGTCCTTTTTTATAGAGTGTAACTTGAAGTAACTAATGTAGAAAACTGGGATAAATTATTTCTTAAAGGAAAAGGAAAAAACTCTACCTTTATTTAGTTCCAGTATTTGAGTAATACAACACTTAAGAAATTCTGCAAAACCTGACATACGTGTTATTTATTTACCTGCCTAGCTGGTCCTATGTTTGATGAGTACTCTTTCTGTAATTTGAGTGCTGTAACTTAGTTTATAGTCTGGCATCGAGTTAGTGTTCACTTTTTCCCTTTGTTCTTCCTTACCAGTGAGAGATGGCACAGGAAGGGCAGAGCAGCCAAATGGTTTAGCAAACAAGAATGATCAGTACATGAGCAAGCTCTCTTGAGTATCTGCTAACTTCTCTAGGGTGTGGCCATGGGGCCTGATATGGTAATGGAATGCTAAATCAAGAAGGTAATGTAAAAATTGATCTAGGACCATTAAAATTCCTGGTACTGTATGCTGGTAGGAGCAAACCTGAAATACCTCTATAGGGAGACATAGACAGCTCAGGGCTTGCAGGAATCCCACACTGGGGAGTGGGTTAGGGACATGAGCTTTCTGTCCCAAATTACAAACTCCATAAAGAAACAAGTCATAATGAACTGGAAATAGAAAATTTTATAGTGACATAAAATAAACATTATAGGGGTAAAAGGAGGATTCAATACAAATTATAAAATATTATAGGAGTAAAAGTAGGATTCAATACAAATTATAAAATAGTATAGCATTAAAGTTTTTTTGAAAGACCAAAAGTGAATTTCTAGAAATTAAAATATATAATCACTGAAAATTTAAACTAGTGGACAGGTAAACCATTAAGAACACCTGCAGAGAATTAGTGAGTGGAGGAATGTTGAAGAGAGGTAAATAGAGGGAAAGTGTGAAAGAGTAAGCATGGGTTAGAGAATAAGATATCCAGTATGTATCTAAATAAGAATTGCTGAATGGGAGAGACAATGGCTAATAATTTTCCAGAATTTAAGAAAAGCATGAGTCTTCAGAATAAGGAAGCTTACCAAATCTTGAACAAGATAAATAAAAGCAAATCTGAAGAACACACACACACATACACACACACAGAATTTTAAAGGAAAGCAGAGAGAAAAGGCATATTACCTCAGAGAAATTAGTTAAATTGCCAGCAGACTTCTCATCAGTAACAGATGCCAGAAGAAAACTAATATCTTCCAAATGCTGAAGGAATAACAGTTGCTTTAGAATTCTAAATGCAATTAAATTATTAATGAAAAAGGGAAATATTCATTAGATATAATAATTCTAAACCTTTACTCAGTAACCTAGCCTAAAAGCATATAAATTAAAAACTGGCAATTTACAAGAAGAAATTAACATCCACAATCTGAGTTGGGAAAATTCAATACATTTTTTCTCAATTTGATTAACTAGACTAAACTTTGAGAGTAGAGAGACTATAAACAAAACATTAAATACTTACTCTGGCTTGATCTAACTTATCAGACGCAAAACATACATTATTTTCATTTATAGCTGGAACAATCAAAAAAGAAATGAAGGCTTCCCTGGTGGCTCAGTGGTTGAGAGTCCACCTGCCGATGCAGGGGACACGTGTTCGTGCCCTGGTCCGGGAAGATCCCACATGCCGTGGAGCAGCTGGGCCCATGAGCCATGGCCGCTGAGTCTGCACGTCCGGAGCCTCTGCTCCACAATGGGAGAGGCCACAACAGTGAGAGGCCCGTGTACCGCAAAAAAAAAAAAAAAAAAAAAAAGAAATGAAACTGACCAAGCACAAAACATAAAGGAAATCTTTATGAATTCTTTGACTAGAGTATATAGTAAACTTAGAAATAAATAATAAAAAGACAGCACTCTGCCCCCAGGCCTCTGACCATTCTGTTTGAAAATTTAAAACTTATTAGCAGTGAGTAGAAATCATAATTGGAAACTGAAACACCTAGAGCTAAACAATAATGAAAATATATATATAAACCTATGTGGGAAGCCACTAAAGTGATATTTAGAAAAATAGTGGAGTTTTTTTTTTTTTGGAGTTTTAAATATAAGGTATTTTTTCCCAAAATTATTCCCTCCAAAAGGAGATTTATATTTGTTTCATAGGAACTGTCTCATTGCAAGATGTTCTCTTTCTCTTGAGCATGGAAGTACTGTTTAAGAAAGGCACATTGACCTGAAATGCCTTTACTACATGTCAGTTTGGAAAGCTCATGAAGCTCATCTGATAAGTGATTTAAATGAAAAAAAGAGGCTAAGAAGTCTAGAGGAGATCTGGTTTTAAAAGTCACTTAAAAATAACACATCTAGTTATACTGTGGATATTAAAATATATTCCAACAATACAAATAGGAAAAAATAACGTCCTACTAATGTTTTATATAAATGGGTAATTGTGGCTTGGGATGAAAATGTTAATTTTAGTGATAGATTCAAAAAGTACTTTATGTAATAATCTGGAAAATTTACTGTGATTCAGAAGTTTGATATAGATGCTCATGTCTGGTGTGTGAGGAATTTAGATTATTTTACATAATCAGATGATAATTACTTGAAAATAGTCTCACTGGCAAAATAGGGAGATCATTTCATGTTTGGAATTGCCTTATGGTGGGACATATTTAGTTTGTGACCTTAATGCAAGTTATTAGAAAAAAGATTGGAAATTACTTAGGTAAACTTTCAATTTCAGGGATTAGAATATGAGCCTCAGAGTAAAAGCCAATTAATGAGAAGAAAAATGATGAGAAAAAGGACAGAAATTAACAAAACAAAAATAAAAGAGACAAGAAGATCAACAAAACTGAAAGCTGTTTTTTAGACCAATAAATGAAGCAAACTTCTGGCAAGATTAATCAAGCAAAAGCTAAGGCAAAAATTAACAGTATTAGGAATGGAAAGGGGATCATAACTGTAGATGTAGTAGAGATATAAAAAAAATCATGAGAGAATACTATGAATAACTTTATAGAAATATGTCACCAAAACTTGTGGAAAAAGCAGATTTGACTGTGGGGTGTAGGGATTTAAGCCATGTTTTAGCCATGTTGTATTTGAGGTATCATTTAGATATTGAGCAAGCCAAGTTAGCCAAGCAAGTCTGGAGATACAGATTTGGGAGTTACTAGTTTATAAATGATGTAAAAGGTTGGTTTTTGAGGCTGTTTTAAGACCTGAGATGAATTTGATAGTAGGGGTGAAAAGAGGATTTAGAAGTGGAAGATAGGACTGAAGTACAGTTAGGTTCATGAAGGTAGGTGATTGTAGGTAGGGAATATTTATCTGTCATTTCCTAGCTAAGAGTTAGGAAATGAGGAATTTAATACTTCTAACTGAATTTCATAGCCCATTGTATTAGATGAGAAATTTCTCTTGACGAAGTTCCCCGTGTGGGGAGAGGTTCATTGACATGTGATTGGCTAAAATTTAGAGAAATGACCTTACTTCGATCCTTTGTTTTTATTTCAATTTGGAGAATTTTCTGTTTTATTAATAATAGTATCTTAAAAAGCAACTGATAATATATTTTTAAAATACAAAAGTAATTCTATATTAATTTAGTTGATAGTGTAATGAATAAAATTTCTTGGCAAAGATATTACTTTTATAAGCTGATTTTCAGGTAATTAATATATTTCTTACTGTAGGTTTTCAAATTGGAATGATAATCATTTTTTTCTGGACAACTAAATGGTTAAAAATGTTACATCTTTTGGTAGGTTTGTAGGGGGAAAACCCAATTTTGTTAGATGTTTGTGAGAACATTTACCCTAAAATAGTCCATTGTTTTTCCTGGATTAAGATTTATTTCTTTTACCTGAGCGGGAGAAGATATAATTTAACATTGGTCTTCAGGACAATTCTGTATTTCTGTGAAGACCATTAGCTTGCTGATGAGTAGCATGCAGATTACTAGTGTGCAGACTATCGCTATTTTGTCTACCTTAGGTGAAAAAGTTACTCTTAATGTTATTTTTCTCTACTTGGACTTTTAAACTTTCAAGGAGGAAAAATAATTTTCTTTAAAAAGCTATCTTTTTGTAGTTTACACTAATCAGTTGAGAAGTGTTCCTCAATTCATTTCTTGAGAATCTGAATGTATCTGTTTTCTTCTTTGCCCTCCCTCTTCTCTAACAGTCTGGGTATAGGGGCAAACTTTGACTCAGGAAGAGAAAGCATTTGGCCCTTAGTAATCTTCCCTTTGCTATGTGTTGTCTGTAATTAAATTAAAACTTGTAGTTGATGATTGAGATGCTTTATACTATGTTATTTGAGATGTGTGCTGTTTTAAATCACAGATATAAGTATTTTTAAAGAATGTGAATAATAGAAGACATTGAAAATTAGAATAAAATGAGAGCTCCATGTTAATTGTAACATTTTAAAATGTTAAAGTTTCCTTTATACAAATTATATTGTTAAGCAAAAACATTACTATATAAAAAGATAATAGATCAATTATGCTTTCTTTTCTTTAACAGAAGAACAACAGAATTCATAAAAGTGAAGAATTTTTAAAGAGGGTGACAAAAAGAGAAGGAAAATGCCGAAACCAGTAAGTGTATTTTATTACTTCTGACATTGCTTACTTAATAAAATATCAGTGGCATTAAGTTCCTTTCGGAACAAGGCAAAGTATTATGGTAGAGTTTTGGGGGGAAAAAAAGCACTGATATTACTGTTGTTTGTTTTAGATTAATGTGGCTAGAGTATGGTGTTATGTGGGCCACTGATGAAGAGGTTTAGGTGACACTGTAATTAAGATTACTACAGGTTGTGGGGTCAAACTTAGTTCTTATCCTTGCCCTGCCACTTAACCCGACTGACCTTTGTTAGATTAGTTCAGTCTCTCCAATTCTTAATTTCTTCACATATAAAATGGAGATATAATTAGTTACTTACTGGAGACTCTGGTGAGGATTAGAAGACCTGGTACATATACATTCAGTGCTTAGTAAAAAGTAACTTAGTGTTAAACAGGAAAAAATAATGAGAGGTCAGAAGGATCCATGCAGTATTAATTTTCTCATAATTCTAGCTTTGATGCTAGTGATACCAGTGCTGATATTATATATAGTCCTAGATTTTTGATTTAATGGTATATATATGATCATTTTATTAAGTTTTATAATTATATAATTTGTGACTAATGTTTATCCTTTTATCTTAGGATAAATGTACTTTTCTTTATCTAACAAAATCAGGGGTTTTTTTTCAAGAATTTTTTGGCCAGTTATCTTTTTAAGAAAATCATTGGTTGTGGTTATTTGAATTTTCTGGCATAAATGTCACTTTCGAATTACTTTTAAACATTTAGCAGGTAAAAAAGTGCATTGTTGGAGGGAGAGAAGAATAAAAAGAAGTGAAAGGCATAATCAATACAAAGCAAGAATTAATTTTTTCTATTTGCAGATGACATAATTATGTAAATAACCTGGAATTTACAAAACAACTATTAGAACTAATAACAGAATTTAGCAAGATTGTTGGGCATAAGGTTATATTTTTTAAAAATCAGTTTTCTGTTTTATATACTAGCAGCAAAATTCAAAAAATGAAGTAAAAATTCCATTTGTAATAGCATCGAAAACATAAAGTATTTAGGAATAACTTTACAGAGGCTGTACGAGATCTCTAGGCCGAAAACTTATAAGTACTTAAAAAGACCAAAATATATACAAAAATAAACATTGGTCATAGATATGTCTAGAAAATATTACTACAATGTCTGTTCTCCCCAAATATATTGGTAGATTGAATGTGATTCTAATCAGTTGAATCCCTTTGGTTAAAATTGACTAGCTGATTATAAAATGTTTATGGAAGAGCCAAAACTTATGTGGAATAGCTAAAGCAATAGCTAGTGGGAAGCAGCCGCATAGCACAGGGAGATCAGCTCAGTGCTTTGTGACCACCTAGAGGCGTGGGATAGGGAGGGTGGGAGGGAGACGCAAGAGGGAGGGGATATGGGGATATATTTATACATATAGCTGATTCACTTTGTTGTACAGCAGAAACTAAGAAAGCATTGTAAAGCAATTATACTTCAATAAAGATGTTAAAAAAAAAAGAAAAGGGTGGGGCTTCCCTGATGGCACAGTGACTAGGAGTCCGCCTGCCAGTGCAGGGGACACAGGTTCGAGCCCTAGTCCGGGAAGATCCCCTGTGCCGTGGAGGAACCAAGCCGATGCGTGACAACTACTGAGCCTGAGCTCTAGAGCCTGTGAGCCACAACTACTGAAGCCCGCGTGCCTAGAGCCCGTGCTCCACAACAAGAGAGACCACCACAGTGAGAGGCCCGCACACTGCAAAGAAGAGTAGCCCCCACTCGCTGCAGCCAGAGAAAAGCCCTCACGCAGCAACGAAAACCCAGCACAGCCAAAAATAAAAAAATAAATTTATTTAAAAAATAAAATAAATTAAAAAAAAACAAGGGTGGAGCACTTATACTCCTGGATTTCAACACTTATTTTCAGGCAACAAAAATAAGACAGTGTGGCATTAAAATATTAGATAATAGGATCAGTGGAACAAATATACATCTCCACACACAAGGTTGTCACACAATTCAATGGGGAAATTAAATTCAAGAAATGATGTTGGAACAAAGAGTTATCCATACAGAAAAATGCGAATCTTGACTCATATCAGTTTACACAAACAACTAACTCTGAATGGATCACAGGCCTAAATTAAAAGGCCCAAACTATAAAACTTCTAGAAGAAAATAGAAAACATTTTTGCAGTCATGGGGTAGGCAAAGATTTCTTTGATAGTACACAGAAAGTTTGAAGCATTAAAAAAAAAAACTGAACATCAAAATTAAAAAGTTTGCTATTTGGAGAAAGGAGCCCGCGTTTCTGTAGAGCAGGAACTCCCGGCTCGGGATCTCTTCCCTCTGCCGTCACGGAACTGCCCTGGAGCCTGAGAGGAGGTGGCCTCCCTGAGGCTGCCGGCTCTGGAGGGGCCCTGGTGGCCAAAGCCGCGACAGTCGTAGGGACCGCGGGCCGGCCATGTGGATGAAAGTCTCTTGGTGCTGCAGCCAGGAGTCACTGCTGTGCCTCTGAGGTGGGAGAGCCAACTTCAGGACACTGGTCCACAAGAGACCTCCCAGCTCCACGTAATTTCAAATGGCGAAAATTGCCCAGAGATCTCCATCTCAACACCAACACGCAGCTTCACTCAGCGACCAGCAAGCTACAGTTCTGGACACCCTATGCCAAACAACTAGCAAGACAGGAACACAAACCCACCCATTAGCAGAGAGGCTGCCCAAAATCATAAAAAGTCCACAGACACCCCAAAACACACCACCAGACGTGGACCTGCCCACCAGAAAGACAAGATCAAGCCTCATCCACCAGAACACAGGCACTAGTCCCCTCCACCAGGAAGGCTACACAACCCACTGAACCAACTTGAGCCACTGGGGACAGACACCAAAAAGAGCAGGAACTACAGACCTGCAGCCTGCAAAAAGGAGACCCCAAACACAGTAAGATAAGCAAAATGAGAAGACAGAAAAACACAGCACATGAAGGAGCAAGATAAAAACGCACCAGACCTAACAAATGAAGAGGAAATAGGCAGTCTGCCTGAAAACGAATTCAGAATAATGATAGTAAACATGATCCCAAATCTTGGAAATAGAATAGAGAAAATGCAAGAAACATTTAACAAGGACCTAGAAGAACTAAAGATGAAAGAAGCAATGATGAACAACACAATAAATGAAATTAAAAATACTCTAGAAGGTAGGGTTCAATAGCAGAATAACTGAGGCAAAAGAACGGATAAGTGACCTGGAAGATAAAATAGTGGAAATAACTACTGCAGAGTAGAATAAAGAAAAAAGAATGAAAAGAACTGAGGACAGTCTCAAAGACCTCTGGGACAACATTAAATGCACCAACATTCGAATTATATGGGTTCCAGAAGAAGAAGAGAAAAAGAAAGGGACTGAGAAAATATTTGAAGAGGTTATAGTTGAAAACTTTGCTAATATGGGAAAGGAAATAGTTAATCAAGTCCAGGAAGCACAGAGAGTCCCATACAGGATAAATCCAAGGAGAAACATGACAAGACACATATTAATCAAACTAGTGATGCTAGTGATACCAGATACAAAGAAAATGTATTAAAAGCACCAAGGGAAAAACAAGAAATAACACACAAGGGAATCCCCATAAGGTTAACAGCTGATCTCTCAGCAGAAACTCTACAAGCCAGAAGGGAGTGGCAGGACATACTGAAAGTGATGAAGGAGAAAAACCTGCAACCAAGATTACTCTACCCAGCAAGGATCTCATTCAGATTTGATGGAGAAATTAAAACCTTTACAGACAAGCAAAAGCTGAGAGAGTTCAGCACCACCAAACCAGCTTTCAACAAGTGCTAAAGGATCTTCTCTAGGCAAGAAACACAAGAGAAGGAAAAGACCTACAAAAACAAACCCAAAACAATTAAGAAAATGGGAATAGGAACATACATATCAATAATTAGCTTAAACGTAAATAGATTAAATGCTCCCACCAAAAGACACAGACTGGCTGAATGGATACAAAAATAAGACCCATATATATGCTGTCTACAAGAGACCCACTTCGGACCTAGAGACACATACAGATTGAAATTAAGGGGATGGAAAAAGATATTCCATGCAGATGGAAACCAAAAGAAAGCTGGAGTAGCAATTCTCTTATCAGAAAAAATAGACTTTAAAATGAAGTCTATTAGAAGAGACCAAGAAGGACACTACATAATGATCAAGGGATCGATCCAAGAAGAAGATATAACAATTGTAAATATTTATGCACCCAACATAGGAGCACCTCAATACATAAGACAAATACTAACAGCCGTAGAAGGGGAAATCGACAGTAACACATTCATAGTAGGGGACTTTAACACCCCACTTTCACCAATGGACAGATCATTCAAAATGAAAATAAATAAGGAAACACAAACTTTAAATGATACATTAAACAAGATGGACTTAATTGATATTTATAGGATATTCCATCAAAAAAACAACAGAATACACAGTTTTCTCAAGTGCTCATAGAATATTCTGCAGGATAGATCATATCTTGGGTCACAAGTCAAGCCTTGTTAAATTTAAGAAAATTGAAATTGTATCAAGTGTCTTTTGCGATCACAACTCTATGAGACTAGATATCCATTACAGGAAAAGATCTGTAAAAAATACAAACACATGGAGGCTAAACAACACACTACTTAATAATGAAGTGATCACTGAAGAAATCAAAAAATACCTAGAAACAAATGACAATGGAGACACGACCACCCAATATCTATGGGATGCAGCAAAAGCAGTTCTAAGAGGGAAGTTTATAACAGTACAATCCTACCTTAAGAAACAGGAAACATCTCGAATAAACAACCTAACCTTGCACCTAAAGCAGTTAGAGAAAGAAGAAGCAAAAAACCCCAAAGTTAGCAGAAGGAAGGAAATCATAAAGATCACATCAGAAATAAATGAAGAAGAAATGAAGGAAACGATAGCAAAGATCAATAAACTAAAAGGTGGTTCTT